TTAAATTAATAATTATTGCTTGGCGCGCAGTGCGTAGCACTTCTACTTGTATTTGCACTCGTTCATTACAGCTGTCAAGCAATTTGCGTACGCCAGATAAAAGCGGTAACCCCACGACCCAGGCGGATCTAATGTCGGTAGTCATTTAGAATGTTCACGCGCGCGCACAACATCCTGAAACCGTTCAGCGCGCCGACAAGTCGCTACACTGTCTGCCGCCAGCCAAAGGCGGAAGTGAAATGAATTGCTAAAAAAATGCTCGTTTATTTAAGACAAGCACGCGCGTGTGGAATAGTTGGTAAAGGGTACAATAGTTGTTGAACAAAATGTTGCCAGAAGTTGAAAAACAAAAAAATGTTTCATTGTGATGATTAAATTGCCTCATTTACAAACAATCAAATGAATCTAAATAAAATAGAAAATAACTAGATGTTTCATGAAATTAGCTAGTAGACTTAGCTATGATTACTGAAGAGACATGACTGATGTATAATAATAAAGGCTGTCACGTCGCTGAGTAAAAATAGTGAATGACTAGTACAAAATCAAGGTTAAGAGAAATATTTAAAGTAGTTGGCAGAAAACTTTGCACACAGACAATGGGAATCTTTAGTAGCAGATCAAGGCTATTCGACATCACCAGGGTCCAAAATATGTCCTTCTGCATTAAGTAGCTTTCGAAAATAAAGTCAATTTGAATATTTAGGTTCTCTTAGTTAAATCTGGAAAATGAGATGGAAACAAATTTCTACACTCACAATGAAACTCCGAGTAGATAACTGTTACAATTAGGATCAACCAAAAATCTTCTCTCCAGTCAATTGTATTAAACAGCTATATTTCCTCCCACCGACATACTAAGATTGTTTAGTGATAAGGGAGCCAGAAAAATGGTTTTCAGTAACACGGGAGAAAAATAACTGCTCAAAGTAGAATGGAATATGTCAGAAAAGACACCTGGTGAAGGTCGAAAGGAATCTTGAGTCCAATTGTCAAAATTTCAATTATTATATTAACTTTGAACTTTTGTGGCTTGGACTCTGTCTTCAAAATGAAATGAATTGCAAAAAAAAACTAGCACAGAACCTATCTTCTCCAAAGTTCAGATGCAGGAATAGATTAAGTCTGTTCGAAAATATAAGGACCCATGTTTGACTGCAAAACTAAGAAGGGTTTGTGAAATATATACCCCTATATGGAATAGAAATTTTCAGATAAGCTATCTTATCGTCCATATCTAGCGATCTTAGTCATGTTTATTTATTTATACCAGATTCATGAGCTGAAACATGGAATTCAAAGTAAAAATACGTATGCGGATGAGTAGAGATTCAAACTCAAAATTTATTATGAATATTCATATTGCGAACTATTAAAAGTTATCAGAGCCTGAATCACTGATACCTGTTGTATCCAGCTCCAACACCTAAATATAAAACTCATGAAATTCAGCATTTACGCCTATTGGGAATGTTCTGATAACATACTCTCACTGTTTGAAGCTACCTAAAATGACAAAAATACTAAAGAGAGGCACGATCCACAATTCAAACATATCCAACTTATATTACAATTCGGCTTAGAAATATATCGGAAAGTTGTTAGATACTTCTACATTTGAAAGATTTCAAAGAACACGGCTGCCGGGTAATAGCCTACGCTGACGACGTTGTTTTTATTTTTGCGGAACGGCTTTGCGTCAACTCAGATAAAACTGAAATGGATTTATTTACTAGGTGGACTGATTTCCCTGGAACTAAGCAGGCGCTGGCCATCAACAAGTTCCTGGGCGAACCTTCTAGACTAGAGTAGAATGCAGCAGATTCACTGAACTACATGCTCTCAGCAATGTTCATCTTGGCTCAATCGTTCTTACTGAACTTACTCCTCCCCCTGCGGGTAGGGGTAAGAATTTACCCGAGGTAAGGCATGCCTGTCGTAAAAGGCGACTAAAAGCCAAATGCACTATGACTGTTATTATGTACCTTGCTCAGTAATATCAGCATAGTATGTCAGAAATAGTGCTATAATACTTAGCTTGAACTGATATTATAGACTTTAAATGAAAAAGCAAATAAAAAGACATTTGAAGTTCAAGCGACAAATGTCACCAGTCATTGAGTAATGGGTTGCTCAACTGGCAGTAGTTTCGGCTACGCAGTCTTACCGGAGACTTTCTGGTACCACGGGGAGCAGAAAGCCCTTGGATTTCGGTCCAATCTGCTCATTGGGTTATGGCCCCTTTGGGGAGATTCGTGGTGGCTGTGGTTGAAACCTAAATGCAGGAAGAACTGAAAATTCAGCCTAACTGTTTTTTCAGTTCTTAAAAGAAGTTGCAAAAAGCAACTGGGTTCCGTATCCGAAAACGGAAGAGGTTTTAAGTCGGCCTCGAATCTTACCAAGATGGTAGTGTGAGCCCAGACACACTGCCACTGGTAACCAAATTAATACTTGCAAATATCTCGTATTATTTGGGGCGCTTATCAACGCATTGTATTGATACGCTGTGTTTTGGAACACCGTGACGTAAGGCCGTCGCCGGCAGGTACTCATGTAAATCAACAACGAAAGTTGAACTTACTCCAACATGCGTACATATGGTAAGGCTGAAAATATTGTATATATAGGCTGAAAATATTTATTGAGAGAAATGGTGATGTGCTATGCTTTTCCAGGACTAAGGTTGAAGCATCTCTACAATCATATCTTCGGCGAATCTGGTGAAATAGCCGAAGTTGATATTATGGCAGGCTCTAAGCGCTTTGTCGATTTTTGAGGGTGTTTTGGATCGATATTTAGGAGTATTTAGATATCACGATGGACCGGCGTTCTAAGTGGAATACATTTTTGAATCGACCTATTAACCTTATTTAACCAAGCCTAGTTGCTTTTACTATGTGCGCATTCGATTTCAGTGGATTACAGTCTTTGATTGATCGCTATAAAAAAATGTAGAAATTTGAGAGACGTTCTTAGATTTATGTCGTATGAATACGAGGGACATTTAAACACTTTAGCTGGGAAACTAAAATCCTATCAAATACAAATATTTTTCAAAACTTCTAAAACGACAATGGTTTAACAAGACTATTTGAAGTAAAAAGAGAGCGAAAGAAAAAGGTTGAAATATGAGAGGTAAAAAAGCAAACCTACTAGCTGAGATCAACAGAATAAAAATGAATGAAGCTAATATCTTATCACTCAGTTTTACTGAGAAGATAGTGAAGTATAGGTTAAATATTATAAGATGAGCCCGGATACCCCAACAGATGACAAGAGTTTTGACATGACATTTCATACGGCTATGTTCTTCATATATTGAACCGCAGCTATGGAAAAAGTAAACATGTGTTTTAGTGACACTTGAATGCCCTAAATGTTCCAAATTTATTAATCATTTCTTAACACATCTCAATTGAGCAACATGAAAATTGTATAATCAACTTATTATTACCCTTCTCCGATTTCAATTACTGTCTTGTAATTTTTCTCATAGCATATTGACTCTCTACACGCTTCATATATATAATACAAATGTGTTAGTAGTTTTACAAATTAACATCTCAATGCGAATTTACTGATGAAACATCGTTTTGATCAGGTAAAATTTATTTTGCGTAATTTTAGCTGATCAATTATATACAATTTAAAAAAAAAAGTGAAGAAACATCATGATAAAACATTATTGCGAATTCGGTGTAAATATATAAAACAAAAAATAAATAAATGCGCACACGCTCGAAAATTGTAAAATCCCATTTCAAGAAGTGGATAAATATTTGAATTGACGAAAAATATCAAAGTAATGCGTAGTTGTGAATGAAGAGTGGTGAACAGAAGACAATGAAATAACAAAAACCGTTAAATGGTGATGTGATTATGAATGACAAATTTTGGGCACAGCTTAGTACTACATACATATACAGCCACTGGTTGTGAATAGCATATATCGGATTATGACAATTATGCTATTACAACATTATTATGGGTTTGCAACTTTGCAAAACCTTTGAAGATACGTTTGAAAATAAAAAAAAGAAATTTCCCACAATACGACTGAATAACAAAAGTTATATAAAAAATTGCAAAAGCCAAGTGGTTAATGCGTACAAATTGAATGCTGAAAATTTTGAGCACACAAAAGTCGTAAAACGGCTGACAGATTTGGTAATGACGTTTATTATAGATTCAAGAAGTACTAAAGCAGTTCAACTTCACTAGGTCACTAAAGATTAGATCTGTGGCTTACATTTTTCGTTAAGAAATTATAGATATTAAAGTATAAAGGCACTTGAAATCAGGTTTATTAATAATATAATGTGGCTGTATTTAAGCCTAAGGGGTTTGAAAGGATATTTTAAAAAAAGGTATGAACTTGTTATCTGTAATTTTCTTCGAAAAATTTTTAAAACATTAAATAAAAGATTTTTTTATTATTCCACAGAAGTCACTGTACTATAAACCTTTGATCACTACCAGTATATATGATGATTTAATAAAATAAACTCATAACCAATTTTTTTGTTAAGCTATAGGAGTAGAACTATGTTCTCGCCTTGCCTTTGCTTGGTATCACAAGATTGGTAACGTCTTACCCTACTTATAAAGAAACTGAAAGATAATCCTGTGAACACTCGATGCGATTGTTATATTAATCTAATATGGCTAAAGTTATATTTTTTGACCTCTTAAATCGATAAAATTGGGTCGGGTTTATAGGTAATAAATAGATTTTCGGCCGCGATATAAGCTGCCGAGATTTGTAGAAAAAGGCTCATAGTTCATATTAGAATAAGATCACTGAAAATATTGCACTTATATTGTTTTGACCTAATTACTTTTATAATAATGACTGTGTTCGAGCATTGCAAAAATATTTCCAAAATTTTTTACACATTTAAACACCACGCTAATATCGCAAAAGCAGAAATATTCCCCACCCATATATTAAAGCAAAAACACGCGCCCTCACTCACACCTGCTCCCACACTTTCGCTTACCTGTCAACGTCACATTGACGTGCATAAGGCCGATATGCGTGCCTATCCGCGACGGCATCTTCTCACGCGAGAACGCCTTGTACGGCGCTATGATGGTTGTGTGCGCCACATGCCAAGCGGAGCCCAGTCGAGTAACTGTTTGTATTCAAGTGAAACAAAAAATTGTTAAATAAGTACATAAAATTCAACTATAACATACAAATTAATGATTTAATAGACGGTCATTTGTAATAGAAAAAAAATTGCAATAAAAATTCGAAAATAAATAGAGGTGCTAGCGAGTATAAATCACACGCGGGTCGGCCGTGCCTTCGCGCAGGCGCCTGCCTGTGTCAACCAGCTGTGAATTTGGTCAGTGCATGTGTATGTAGGTAAGTTTGTGGATATATAAAATTGATTGCAAAGCTACTCACTTAGTATGACTAAGCCCACGAACAAGCTGAGAGTGACTGTCGAAAATGTGGTGAATTTCTGCAACAAAAAAAATCCATAAAAATAAGCGATTCAATAAAAATGTCTAAAAAAATATGTATATAATAAAAATAAACTATCAAAATAGTATAAAAACAAACGAGAAAATCGAAAATAATAATTAATTAAAAATTACAAGTTTGTGGTGATACTCTTTGCTTTATATTCGTATTCGTTGACGCGGAAACCTTTTATCGCGTTATTCAGCACTGTTGTCATTTTTCGGCTTGATTGTCGGTAATTGGTTGAGATTTAGAATGTTCCATTTTAGTGTTGTTAAAATTAATTAAAGTCTTATGATAATTACATGCAATACATTTTCTCATAAACACTAACAAAAGTATTAAAAGTTTTAGAATGTTCAAAAATTGCGTCTAAGTAGATTTTAATTGATCAAGCGTACGATCCATAAGCAATAAAACATTTTCACTTGAGCTCAACTACTTCAAAATAAATGTTTAAACCATTGGAATCTTTTTTGATACTAGAACTGGCTTAACCAAAAATCTTATTGCACTTTTTTAGAAATATATTACTACTATGTTGTAAAATAGGTACTGTCAAAATCATCCATAAGATCATTTATCCTCTCACAGGGCGGTAAATCGTTCTATCTACTTTAACCAATCACTGATTCTAATTACTCCAGCTACTTAAGGCAGAGAATACAAAATAAGTTTGCTAGGGGCTCAGCATTACTACATATTTTTTTATTCAACAAAAATCCAAGCAGTCCAGCCCAGCCCAGATCACTTGAAGTTTTCGGAACACTGAGGGAACGTAATTTGACTGTCTGTCAACTCGAAGCAACTTACTCTCTCTCTACACGAAGAGAAGGCAATCACACAATTCAACCTCTGATTCGCGAAGAATATTGTTACATCACTCTCTAATACCGTGAAATATCTTGTATGGACTTCGAATTGAATAAAAACTCGCTGTACTTGATGTCTCCATACTGTGAAAAATTGAAGGTTACAAAGAAGTAATCATATTATCTATTGGAACACAAGAGAGTACCGTATGTGTATGCCTCTTTAAAGTGGAGTAACCTAACTGTTCTAATAGTATTTTGCATTGTAGATTGGACTTCTCACCATGTCATGAATATTGGTCCAAAGTCAAAGTTATTGGTGGACTCCGTGCTAATATTCATTGAGATATGACGTTGGATCGAAATTGGCAATAGACTTGAGGAGAGCATTTGTGCACATCTTCAAAAAGGACGAATAATATAAAAATCATAAAAGGAAACTAGTGGAATATATCTTTATCTGCCTCTTTCATCGATTTTCTAGTAATACGAGTTCAAAAATCTACTTAATTTAAACTTCGTAAATATATAATCAACAAACTATCAATGGAGAAAAAGTTGTTCGCGACGAGACCCCTGACTATAGTACAGAAAAGCTAGTGAGCCCTCCATACAAAAATACATCTAGTTTTGGTAATTACAATACTTAAAAAGGTCAGATAAAACCGGGAAAGATCGAAATCGGCCGAAATGAGAGTTTGAGTAATATTATTATATACTTAACGAGTTCAACGAAAGAGGTTTGTTGCTCTCAACAATATTTAGTTTCACCAATAAAATAGAAACGGCATTAGGATAATCAACTTCACGTATTTGATTTAGAAAATTAATGAAGTCAAAATAGTTTAAAAAAATTAGACCATCCTATAACATAAAGTAATCTGGCAAGGGAAAATTTAAATTAATTTAAAATGAAGCTAAAGGCTAATATAACGGGTTTGAGATTACTCTGATTCAATCCAGCAATTGATGAAAGCATAGAGCTATCTTATATTGTATAATATAAAGTATATTTCTAAATTGAAAAAAGTCCTGTTGAGAAGTTAGAAGAACATTTAAAGTTAGTAAAATTATTTTCAAAATTTTGATATCCTAAAGCTTCGCGTTTATTTTTTTTCGGACAATGGTGGTAGAAAGGGGTTTTAAGAGGGCCCTGAAAACATTGCTACTGAATAAAAAACTTTCGAATTCCTACCAAAAATGTAAAGAAAAATACATCACAGAGTTCCTTATGTTCTTAATGAATCATAATAATTTCGAAATTTTTATAACACACATTTATAGCCACATTTCTCTTACCGTTCCTAAGCATGGGTCTGCTACTTTCAAATACTTAATCTTCTTGCTTTTTATTCCCTATTTGTACCCATGCGTGTTTCATCAAAATAATAAAAACCGGTTATTAGTCAGTTAGCCTTTCATTGGCAATTTATGTTTCGTATTCAGTGAAATGATAAAGAAACAGTAAAAGTCGTTGCGGTTAAATCTTACTTATTTTAGCATAAATTACAATATTCGCTTTGCCACTTAAATTCTGAGCGTTAGTCAGATCATTAACCGAACACAGCAAAAACGAATAATAAAATACTAATGAGCTACAAACTAAGCTAATTCTCGTATACTAAATATATCAGAACAACTGTTAAACTCTATGTGTAAAATAGCAAAGTAATTTGTGTACCGTTCTTTTCTAATTTATATGCCCCAAGCTCTAATGAGATTTTAGTATTACAAATTTATAGGCCAACATACATCTATGTATGCTTGACATCTAGTGGCATAATTAAATTTATATATTCACCTGTTTCCTCACACCGGGAAATATCACTAGAAAAGCAACGTAAAATGTTGCAAATAAAACAGAGACGGCAACAATGGAGACATCGCCTGTCACCGGTGTACGATTAGGAAATGAGTATAGTGTGGGTCCACCGTCGTCACGAAAAGCATCAAACCAACCCTTCATGCTGTTTTAAAATGTTTGTGTTCTGAAAGAAACAAATGCAAAATAAGTAAATTAATAAAATTTAAATAAAAGCTATTGAATACTAAATATTATTTTATAGAATTCATATAAACTTCATTTTAAGATTTTTGTTCAAAATTTCACGTTGTATGTTCAACGAAATTCTTGAATGACAAAATGAAACTGTCCCAATAATAGTCAAGTTAGTAAATAAAATTGGTTACTTCCTTTTTAAGACATATTGCTAATTTATTTTGACCTGGACGGTATTATAAACAAACATTATTCAACATTCTTATTGTTGTAAGCCACTTTACTCAGGTTTAGGTCTTTCAGTTTATACTATAATATATACAAGTTTTAAAGCGCCTACGAAATGTTTGCGAATTTTGGGAGAAACTTTTCCATGGCACTCCCTACGATAAATTCCGCTATTTTAAATTTTGCTTTGACCAGAATTTATTTCCAACTTTTTTTCATGTTTTTCATAGAAGTCTGGAATACCTAAGTCCGAAAACAGTCTATCCGACCGTTTTTTGAATGAAATACCAAATCTATCTATACAGAATATATTAATATGCACGGGTCATAATTTTACAAAAAAATTTAAATGATGTCGTTTGGGTCGCGGAAATCTATTGCGTAGAATTTGTCGGCCAATAGTGTGATATTGGTCCATTTTGACTATTTTGACTCACCATAGTAGGTCAAATTGTTTCACTCTTCTGTGGGTGTCTATTTCTATCACAGTTCCGGACCAGTATAAAAAATAGTTTGAATTTCTCTAAATGATCTTCAAATACTTTTTTAAAATGAACCGGCAAATGGTCCAATTATGAACGCCGTTAAATTGTTTGCAGTCTCAGTCATCAGTTGTGTCGAAAACAAAACAACAAACTGCACACTATTTTATTTCTGCCTTTGGTCCAAGAATGACCAAAATAGAGATTACAACACTTTCAACTCAATACTTTTTTGGAGTGCGTTTAACAGAAAACTACGTCGTCATAAATGCAAGGTCTTGTTAACAATTACTATGAGCTTTCCTCAGTTCGTTGAATTGCGTTTATGATGTTGTGTTCCACAATATTGTTTCCATAATTCTTGCTTTTGATCTATGTTTGCCAAACCACTTTTTTAGCCCGGCGACTAAAGTCAATTGACAAATGAATGCCATAACATGTGAAATATATGCTCCGTTTAGATATTTATACCCTGAGTTTAAAGTTTGTCAAGAAGTTCGTAACACCCAGAAGGAAACGTCGTAAATCTGTAAAATCTGGCTGTCCGTCTTTCTGTATATATGCGAAGTAGTCACTATGTTTTTGAAACATCGATCAGAAATTTAGCAAACAACATTTACTCCCCAAGAAGCTGCTCATTTGTCAGAACCATTGATATCGAACAGCTTTAGCATATAGCTGTAATACAAACTGACCGATTAAAATCAAGTTTTTGTATGGAAAACTATTTTATTTTTATTTTGATAAAATTACAAAATTTAACACAGACTATTGTTCATAACAACGCTACAGTCTAAGAACATATTGTTCCGATCGGTCGACAATAGTACATGGCCACTTTACAAACCGATCAAAATCAAATTCTTATATTAAAATTTTTTTTTATTTAAGAAGATGTCTTCACGAAGATTAGATCGGATCACCACAGCATATACCTGCCATACAAACTGGCCGATAAAAATTAAAATACAGATCTTTTATACCCTTTTTTTCTTTCTTCGGCGCAGCCAGAGCTTACTTTTTTCTTGTTTTCAATTTAAAATTGAAAATCAGTCAACACTGACTGAGAACGATATATACAATCAACTTATGGCAGTAATTATTTCGAAACTTATGAATCGAGTAATTAAAGAATTACTTACTAAGGAAAGGTAAACAAAACGAACTAAGCAGCCACACGCTTCGCTGTTTTTAAAAATAACGCTATGATCTTCAGAACAAACGTTGGTAGCCGATTCTACGCCGTCTTACAACTAAATGAAGACAAACAAATAGTTTTACGTACATAAATACAAGCCTGGGAGGAATTCAACAAGTCATGTTTAGCGGTCTCACCTATTAATAAACAATTTATCATAAATACCATACATAAATGTTATGCAATGTGGCATGCCGCTTAGCAAAAACAAAAACACAACTAATGTTCGTACTTATCTTTTTCATAAAAAAAATAATTTTTCTAACTAAATGAATAAGTTTTTATTGCGATATTACTTGATTTCTTTGTTCTGTGTAAGAAAAAATATTAATTGTATATTTGTATGCATGTATGTAAGTGTGAGTATTTCTAAGTTTCCTTTGTTATAAGTTACCTAATTGTTAATTATTTTGGTTTACTCGTATCCGCGTTTAACAAAAAACACAAAAATTTATTATTTGTCCAAAAGCCGTAAACTCATTAAGAGTGCCAAACAAAGAACAGAAAATATATGAAAAGAAAAATTAAAACAATTTGTAGCGGTCAACAGAAACATATGTACATATGCTTACAAATATGCACACTAGCCCATATATATTTGTATAAAAGGCGGTAGAAGTATTTAGTGTCGACTTGTGATAAAATAGGTGAATGTACATATAGATATTATTGTTGTTTTTTTTGTGTAGTTGTATAACGAACGGAACGTGTAGTCGCTCGCCTGCAGGTTAAAAGCCGCAAACTTAAGTATACTCTAAGTTTAAGTGGCAAACGAGCTGATTTTTACTTGAGTTGAGTTGGAAGTGACGTCTGGCGTTCGGTATATTTGGTAGAACAAAAGAAATAAGTCGATAAAAATATAGCAGATGAAACTAAAGCTGTACCTGTGGCAATAACCGGTTCTAATTTACTTTTTACTGTTTCACATTATACTCTCATAATACATCTTTTATTTAATTTATTTTTTTTTAGCTCGCTAATGTATAGCATCTACTGCAGAATTGCGCAAAATCCAGTGTAGGACTATCCGTCTGTGATTAAATTGCTTCAGGCGAAAACATTTTATACCTTTCGTGATATTGTACCTACAAAAATGCATTCGAATTTGTAACCTGCTCATTTGTTCTCAACAATGGGTTTTAAGGGGCATACATGAAATGAATTTTTTTGTTTTCCATATTTCAATCAGTTATAAATTAAGTTAAAAAATAACTAAAATTTTAACTCGATGTCTCAAATACTTTTTTAAACGACCAAAGTTCTAGGTTAAACTAAACTTTTATTTTTTAAAACAATTTTTAAACTTTTTTCGATTGTAGGTCATTGTACGCACAATATCTTCTAGTAGAGATTTGTTTACCACTGCAGCAGTGGAGAACAATTTTTCAGCGCCATCGAAAATCGCCTATACCTCGAAAAACATTTAATTTTTTTCTTAAAAATTTTTACCGTATGTTCTTAAAAGCATGAATATATGAAATATACATATATTTGACAATAATTGAAATAAAGATACTAGTCGAAAATTTTTCTTTAAAGTGGATTTTTATTGCATATCAGTATTGATTTAGTTATATAAAGGCTTAAAACTGGTGAAAAAAACGTTTCATAATAATATTTTCCACTATAACATTTTATACTTTGCAACATATTTTTATTGCAGTCAAATTATTTAAACAGATGGCAATCCTGCTTTACTTTGAAACACTTGTTAACAGTAATATTCAGTTTTCAGTTTCCTTATAAATTTTCTTGTAGTAGTTTTCTAAAAAGGTGGTAGCCCTTTTAATAATACTTTTAATTAAAAATCTTTTACTTTGAAATTGATATTAAATTTTTTTTACTTTCAATTTTCTTGTAGTAACTTCTTCTCAATGTAAACTTTCGCAAGCTTCTTTACTTTGAAACAAATGTAATAATATTTGAATTTGCTAACAAATTTTATTGTAGTAAATAATTTAAACAGGCGGCAAACCTACCAAATAATAGTTTAAACGACAAGCATTTTTCTTTGATACTCATTTTCATTTTGTCTTAAATTTTTTTGTATTTAACTCTGTATACTGGTGGTAACGGTAGTTGAAAATAATTTTAACTGTAAATCTTCGTACGTTTCTTTATTTTGCCACCCATATTGTATCATTTTATTTATTTCAAAATTTATATGAAATTAAACTGTGTAAACATGTGGCAACGAACTATAAAATACTTCTTAAACCTGCTTACTTGGACACTTATATTGCAATAATAATTATTGAATTTTTGAAATGGAAAATATACAGCCGTACCCGTAAGAATTTAATCTTAAAGTTATGTTTTTTTTTATTTTTCGTCCAGGTGGCAACACTCAGAATTAGAAAATCATTAGCAATTTCTATGACCCGAACTATGGCGATCTATTTAGCAAAGAAATTAACTTCGCATATACCAAAAAGATGTATACATATACTATACAAGAACAAGAAAAATATTAATTTCGGTTGCACCAAAGCTATAATACGCATCAGAAATACAAAAATTTCCGTACAAGAGTTTTGATCGGTCAGTTTCTAGGACAGCTATATGCTATAGTGACTCGATCTGAATCTCGAAGATAGCATCGTTGCCTTGAACAATATAACATGCTAAATTTCATGAAGATATTATATCTAGTCAAATGAGAAAGTTGTCCATACAAGCACTTGATTCCGATCGTTCAGTTAGTATGGCAACTATACGCTGCAGTGGTCTGATCTGAACAATTTCTTCGCCATTCTTGAATATTTTTACATTACATACAAGCGGATACGATTATCTCTCCCATAGGTAGCGTAAATTGACTTAGTCCTAATATGCGATCACAATTAAAAGAACTGTCTACTTTGGCGATGACTGATGTTTATAGTTTTTCTTGCTAAACAAAAAGTAAAAACATAATTATTTTAAAAGTTTAAATTTTTATGGTTATTTAATATTAGCAAAAGGTCTACAAGTTTTATTATTCTTGGTAAAACCACCTGCTTATCGACTCATATAACGAGTGTTAAAATACAATGAAAGTTTTATATAATTCTGCTAAGCTGTTTTATTAGCTAAAAGAACACCCAACCAATAAAAAGTTAAAAATTCCAATACAACAACAATGCCTTCTATAAGTAGCTAATGCTTATATACCCACACATCTTTTATGAAAGTTAAAGATTACTACCTGCTACAGTTTTGCGTATAACGCTCATAACTAGAATCAATTTATAAAAAGTTTTTGCAACCGAAAACCAATACATGCGTAACTGTATAAATGCACCCAGAATTATTTTCTATAAAAAAGCGAAAGGTGGCACAAAGTGAAGGAAGTGATGAATATAAGGGTTTTTAAATAAATGTTAAAACCAAAAACAGCGCAAAAAGCATAACATATGAAATGATTGTGTCTAAAAGCAAATATTCACATGCGGCGTGGGTTTTTTGATTGCTCTCCAATCTTTGCGAATTCATCATGAAATTTTTTTAGTGTTACATTCTTGAAGATTGAACATTTTGATTTGTCATGCTCAAATGATTAAAATTCTCACTCACGTTAAATTCCAAGTGGCTGTGGGTTTTTCTAAATAGAAGTTTGAAGACATAATGGTCACAAAAAAACTTACCGAGAAAAACTCTTGCTTCTCATAAAATACCAGCGATTTCTAGAATGTTGACTAATGTACAAGTATTTTCCAACCGAACTATATTAATACGAATTTGTTGTATTCTCTATTTCTGTGATTTTTGGAGCACCCTCTTTGTAAACGAAATGAGAGACAATATTTAATTTTTGACTTAGTTAATTGAACTTTACGTGTTCTCTAAGTAACCCAGAACTATCAAAATCAATCCTACAACTATGGCGCCACAAATATAATATTATGTGCTCATTATAATATGCGGCTTAGATCTGATTTCAGTTTTACCAGTATTTTTTGCTTAGACATGGAAACTAACAAAATTATAGGTGTTGAAATAACACTAACCAAACTGAAGCATCAAAACCAAAGATAAAGGGATAAAAGGATGTCCAACTTATTCCAGTGTGAGAGCGCCCCAAAATTAGCGTTTTTTATAACATTTTCCATTGTAGCCAGATCAGACAAAATAATAATTTTTGGCCATTTAAATTAAAATGCGCAACATTTAATAAATATTATTATACATGTATCTGTTAAATATATGTAGAAACTCCTATTTTGTGATATATTAAAACAACTGATTTTTGAACTTTCAATACTTATTAAAGTGAATAGCTGTATTAGCTCTCAATTATTGAAAGGTTTTTATCATTTTCAATTGAAAATTAATACTACGAATCATGGCATCACAAAAGATTTCGTTATCTACATTTTAATTTCGCGTTTTCTAAATTTTCTCAATTTTTGTTAGTGATCTTCAACAGAGGCAATAAATCTCTCTTTCTCTTCCTCTATTTATTTAATAGGATTTCAATCTGGCCATCCCTCTTTTTCCAATTGCTAAATGTCAGAAGAAATACAACGAATTGCAAATTATAAAACATAATTATTGTACTAACTATCCCAATGCCTCTGAAAATAATATGGTATACCTAAATATGTAAAACCGCAATTTGAATTGGCAGTCAGTTGAAATGAGCAACTCTAACTCTATAACTGCTTAACTAATTTAATATGTAAAAACACGACTATTTGAATAACTACATACATATATTAGATATATGCATGGATATAGAAATACATAATACAGATTTAGTTACACTTACCAAACTTGTCTAGAATCTGCATTCAATTATAATCTATATAGTATACGAACAAATGTTGCTTGTCTTCTTTTGTAATACGTATCTATGTATATAATATTTGTTTGTATGTATGTATGTTGAAGTTATACACGTCTGTCTCCCACTGCTAATCTGACGTTGATTTCAATTTACTTTCAGTGATGAAAATAAGTTATGACATGAAGTATTTCCCAACATCTGTAGCTTACAATGAAAATATCGGTTTTTGTTGTCAACTACAGTAATGTATTCGCTGTAAATTGAAAAATACATAATAATAGTTAAATTACTATTACTGATATTAATTAAATATTAATTAAGAAATAACATTACATATTCTACTACATTATTTCATAGCACTTGCTTACATAAATGTAATTTCGTAGCAGATTTTGCTAAAGGCAGTCATTATTGATTTGCCTTCAATATTTACAATACGGGAAGGATGAACACAAAGCACATAGGTGTACTAACAGACATATTGGAGAGTTCATTTCATAGATGGGAGCAAGACTCCATAGAACGGAATCAATATGTTTTCAGTCGTGGGATCACGCAATCGACCGAAACTACAAAGATGATTCCAAGCAGTGTTTGAAGCTTTCCATCTAATAAGAATGAAATTTAGACGGATAAAACAGACATTACACAACTTGTAAAAATGTAACATTCACACAAATAGAATAAATAAAAAATTTTACATATAAAAACTTTCAACATCGCCTCTTAATAAGTATTACTGGAACACCTAAATCGCGAAATCGACTTCATTTAAAAAAACAATGAAGATAATGTACCATGTCACAAAACAAAATCCAAAGGCAAATCGCTTGAATTTGGATTCAAATTGCTTCCGTTTCCTCTGTAAGTAGTAAAATTAAATTTATTGTTTCCCCAATAGATGGCTTTAGTATTCTGTACCTCGCGTTGTATGTATAAGTACCAGTGGATTACGCAATTTGATTTTGAAAAGATAAGACTTTGCTGTAAATATACCATGAATCTGAAAGACCAATTGTCGTAAACTATCATGTAAGCATTGTTTCGATTTCCTAGGACATAAACATTGACAAAAAATCGTTTGATACCATTTAAGTAAGGCTAAATATAAAAAGAAGCTCGATTTATGGGTGCCACACGAGCTAATGCAATAAACCTCGTTGACCGAATTGCAAATTGCGAACCGCAACAAATCTGGTATCTAGTGATCAAATCACTAATGACAACGTCAAACGAAAACGGTCGTCTTCGAATCGCGCTGAACAGTGGCTAAGCCAGAATTGACTGTCAGGAAATTTGCCGTGTGTTTGGTAAGATTGACAGGGAATCATATACCTTTTCTGCTCTCCTACGACCAAACTTTTAAAATCGAACCTATGCCGTCAACAAATGGACCATTTGAAGTAAGCAATCCACCAAAAGTTATCAATAGAAGAGGGATTGTGTTCCATCACGACGATGGCAGACCCCACTCATCGTTAGTTGCTCGCCAGAAACTCCGGGAGCTATGCATCTACATATAGTTTGGACCTGGTATCAAGTGATTACTAGCTGTTCCTTCTTACGGCGAATGACCTTGCTTGTGAAAAACAGTACCTCTTTTGTTTGATAATTTTATGATGACCATATTTGATAAAACTACTATACTCTTATTTATGAACACGGCTTAACTTCAGTATTTTATTTGGCGGGTGTTTAGAGACTGCTTGATATACCATATGTCAAGCCACCTTCAGTTTAAATTTGACAGATTTATTTGAAACTTATGAGTTCCCACAAAAATTGTATCTCGTTTAAAAACTTATCAGTTTTTATAAATACTTAAAGTTAAGGCTTGCAATCGGTTTTATAATATCAAAATTAATAAGCAGAAGTGATTTGAAAATGACGGAGCAATTGGCAGATGTAATAACCCGATGTCATGCTTACTTTTCAAAGCATGTTTATGAAAATACTAATTATCAAAGCAATAAGTATATTTACGATTGTGTTAAGGTTAAATGTTCGTTTGTGTTCCACTTTTAAAATGACCAAGTCAATTTTTTAGGTCACACAAATTAAGCCTATTTTATAGGACAATTTTTTAATGCCTTTTAATTTTTTTTTTATACTTTCAACAATTTAAAATGAGTTTAGAAATGGAATCAGGTCATGCGCTAGTCGGCAAAAATCTGTAGGTAATGTATATACCGAAGGGTTAACAATTCAAACTTGTAGAAGGCAGATAAATTATTACTTGAAAGCTAAGAATATTTCGTTTCAACTGCTGAACTAAGCTGAAGAAAAAAATTCATGAAATAACTCCAAAAGAAATACACAAATTCAGAGATCATATAAAGAATAATATATATTTTCCATAGGCTGCGAAACTCCCAAGTATCGACTACAATGAAGAGAAAACCAAACTCATCGGTCATACAGATATTCTAAGTATGATCCCAGAATAAGGCGATATCCGAATATGTAGATGCAATCGATATTGTCAGCTCTGCTAGAGATATTTATACCTCTCTCTGCAATTATCACAAATCAATTAAGATAAAAAGAAATTTTTTTATAACAAACATTCTCACAAATATTTTCATTTAACCTAAACACCACAGTAAATGTTTACAAAAACTCTTTTCCTTAAGTTAACTCGTTTATTAGATCAATGTCGATAGATACACCCTTCTATTGTTTGGTAAGCTTTCTAATATGGAAGGAGCTATTATTAGCGGCCAAATCTGTTATCAGATCGATAAGAACTCCTCAAAGCCGAGGATGATTCATAATTATTTAGGTCTGTCGGTTTAGAAGGTATAACCGTTCCTTAAGTCAAAGTTGTGGTACTTATGCCGTTAGTTGTTCGATTAAAGTTAGCTAACGCATCTCATAGATGTATACTAGAAGCTATATATAGATAGATACATACGAAGCGTTACGAAATTTTGCTTGCATAGGTCAGCCACAAAAATATTAGCTTCCTCTAAATTTTTAACACTTATTTTTTCCGAAATTCAACCAATCAAAATACCAAACAAACGAAGCTCAAAAGAGTTTATCGGATAAAATCTGGCTAGCAATTCGCAGCAACCGCAGTTAACAAACGAACAGCCGATAATGACGAATTGAAATCTGAAGCATTTACACAGACAGCCAAGCATTCGGTGGAAGCCAACATAAAGAGCACTAAAATAACATTTTTTGACGTAATATGTACGTTGGCCGTTGGACTTGGTCTTCAACCAACTACCATAGTCACAGCCATACAAGCCGTGGAAGCTTTTGTGCCGCACAAAAAACAGAAAAGAAGTCAACGAAAACGAATGAGAAAAAACACAACGTGAGGAAGAGGCGATATAAACAATGGCAAAGCAACACTCACCACCAAACAGTGAAAACAAGCTAACGCCAACCGACGACACGATTATTTCGTTCCGCTGCTGAGGTGCATAAAAGTGGAAAACGCGCAATCGCAGACGCCGCAAACGAGGCCGGCTCGTACGTCGTCACAACGACCGCATCTACACAATGCGCGCCAAAAAACAAACAGCCATGGAATGGGTAATAGAGTGGGCGTCAATAGACGGCAGTGGCAGAAGAGTAACCATAGGCTACCAACAAATAGAAAATCGCGCAAATCAAAAGCACCAAAAAAAAGTGAGCCAAAAACGAAAACGACGCCGTTTGTCACTGGCTGGTGACGCCAAAGCCACGCGGATGGTACTCGTGACTTGTGGACGCATTACTATCAGCCGCAAAGGCATCAGTACCAGTAGCGACGGCGACGGCAGCAACGTGCCCGTCATGAAAATAAAGTGAACGATGCTTCCGCTCCGCTTGTTGACCAGCGGACAGGCGGCGGTGCAGAGAGATATTTGCAGACAAGCATGCATTCATTCAATCAATTCGTCCGTTAGGCAGCCAGCCAGTCAGTCTGACAATCAAATCGTCAAAGCACATGCGGGCAAGTAAGCCAGCAAAGTTGGCCAGCAGCAAAGCATTAAACTGGTATTGGACGACGTGAGCTCTGGGCTTAGCAGCAGCGTTTACATGAAGGTAGTTGCGATACGGCCCTCTTTAATAAGGTACCCTGCAAGCGTGGGTAGGTGTTTAGCCGTGCCAAAGTGAGTGATTTGTGAAAATTGATGTCTTGAATTGTTTGTTTTTAGCTAACATCGTTTGCTTTGTGTGGATGAGAAACCAGAACTAGCACGGTTTCAAACGAACTTATCGATCTCCTGCAACCATGATATCTGATGCTGGTGAAAGCATTTTATTTCATACAATTCATATTCTTCAACAATTTCCTTTAAAAAAAAAAGGAGGGAAGAAAAGAAAACCAACCAATGAAAACCAATAGAAACACTTTCAGCAGATGGTAGCTTATGAAGACGACGCTTATCCAACAAGCAATTTGGGTTTAGAAAAAAGCCGTGAGGTACCAATGGGTTAGCATATACGACAGAATTACTTGTATTTCCGTCCTTGATTGAGTTGGTTAAAGCCTCTTTCCCTACCTAAGGTATCGGTTATTGAATATACAAACGAAACAAAGCCATTAGTCAAATAACAACTCAAGTAGGCCAGAGTGAAATGGCAAACTACTTGGTATAACGCAAATACGAAGGTTTCAATTTCTATATGACACAGATCACCAAAAAACTTAGATCCCTTGAAGCCAATCTTCACCACTTTAGACAGATAGCAACACATTCAGCGATCTCGTAGTGATCAAAGAAACTTAAAGTATAGTAACCTATTCTAGTACTCGAAGCAAGCTATGCTAAAGGTTCTGCGCCTATATTAAGCTCGAAACAATAGTAATTACTAAACTTATAAACGGCGAATGGAAGACATTACAACAAGTGCCAGAACAAGTAAACAAGGTATAGTCGAATGGCAATGGATGGGAACAATAAAACCATAAATACTCTCCGGAGTAGATGAGGTAAAAGGTTTGGTTAGATTTTCAAGCTAACAGAATTATTCTCCGTTAACTCAATTGGAGTTCAATCTATTGATCTCTCTAGATGAGAGTTTGATTTCCACTTTTCTGACAACACAATAGCGCATCAGCTGACTTGAACTTAAATTCTAAGTTATAGCGAAATTCTAGTTAGGTGAAATAATTGCAGGTGAACAAATGACTTTGAGGGATATATTTTCTTAATAAAAAGTTGTGTTACAGTGATTAAATACAGCCCCCAAATTCATGAAACTAAAATCCGCTCTAACAAAGTTTAATATTGCAGAATTTCACAACAATGA